CATAGGGCACAGGGGAGGGAAGAGAGAACAAATCCTGCAGTGTCTTGCTGAACTGCTGTGCAAGGGCTCTCAAACTTATGACTGGGCTTTTAACCTCTGTGGAAGTGGCTGCCAGCCCACAGCTCCCCTGTATCCGCCCGAGCAGCCAGGGAAAGGACTGCTAAGTGTTCCAGTATTGATCAAAGCATCATGTTTAGGCCTAAGTTACCTCTTTTCCGACAATCAAAGAAAACTCAACCTGAGAGATAGAATTGGATATCTATAGGTGTTAAGTGTTGTGTCTCTAAGATGTCAGGAGCCAGGAAAGAGGAATACTGTGACAGAAAATCAAACTGTTCTATTACAGCCTGGAGTTATTTTGGGAAGTAGAAAAGACATAAATGATTGATGAACGTGGACAAGGAATGAATGGCTCTCAGAGGTCTGGGCGGCCCATCTACTTGTTCTTTCTTCCACCTCCTACTCCCACGCACTTAGGAACTGAAACCAATACCACTTTAGGCAAATCTCATTTGCTTCATTTTTGAAGAATATTGGATATACCATGGACTGCCAAAAGAACTGACAAATGTGTCTTAGAAGTCTAGCCAGAATTCTAGAGGTTGTCTCATACACCTTGGAGACAGACATCATGCTGTAAAGGTGAAAGTCCATGAAGGAGAGGCAGACCCTGAATGAGATGGGCTGGCCCAGAGGCTGCCAACAAAAGACTCAGAGAATAGGAAGATGGTGCAGGACTGGGCTGTGTTATACTAAGGGCCCACAGGGTCGCTAAGAGTCTGAGCCAATCTAACGGCAACAACAACATAAGCAGCAGCAATGTAACAAGAGCAACAAAGACAACATAGGCAACAATGTATGTGGAGTTAGATCACTAAGCATCCTTGGGGCACTACATCTGTACCCTGTGTCCTTCCGGTTGGTGAGGGAAGCAGTAACATCATAAGGCAATTGACTGGGTTGCTGGGATTAGAATGGATTCCCCAGAGCTTGCATCACATACCCCAAGGTGAGCTCCAGGGAGGTACGGGAGAAGCTTTCTCCAGCTTTCCTCATTACCCTGCAAACATGGCGGCTTAATGTTGCACAGACTCTCAGGGGCATCTTTCCATTAACTGGCTCCCCAAGGAAGCACTCAAAACAGAAGCACACTGCTCAAGTTCTCTCTGGTCTATATGTACAACTAGTATGAATACTTGCTCTGTTTCTTACAGATTGTTTCCTTCCAATAAATGAGGCCTGGAGTTACTATTTATCATATTTGAAAGAATTAAATGGAACAAATTGGCAAAAACCCTCATACAAACAACTTTGAGATTTAAGAAATCAATTTCCACATGTCAGAACTCTCCCTCGGGTCCAGTTCTCTCATCCTTGCTTGGCTTCACACTGCAGGATTTCAGACATCACTTTTTTTTTCTGTCTCAGTTCTCTAGGTCAGTACAAATTTCCAAGGTGATTAAATGTTTCCTGCAATGTCCCCCATGCAGGGTTCCCAGAAACAGAAGAAAAGTAAATAAATGTTGCCTAAGAAGCCAAACTCAAAGGAGGCACTAGTTGATGCAAATGCTAATGTCTTCAGGTGCTTACCGAAAGGTAAGGGCTTCGAATCACCCAAAGGCACTTTGGGAGAAAGGCCCAGGGACCCATGTCTGAAAAATCAGCCACTGAAACCCTGTGAGGCACAGCTCTGCTTTGACACTCCTGGGGCTGTGGGAATCACTCAAAGGTGACTGAAAGGTTAAAAAGCCAAAGACAATATTTTGAAGGCGTGACAATGGAGAATCCTGGTTTTCAATCATAAAGAAGCATGCAATCTGAGACGAGCTATGATGGGAGGCTCAGGCTTGGGCAAGTTCTTTCCCCAGACTCCAGGACACAGATGTAAAAAGTTCAGGTATAGACAGACAGGCAATGACAGTGAGCCAAGTGGCCAGGCATTTCAGGACAACAGACTGTGGCTGTGTGTGGTACTCCTCCCATACAGCTCATGACTGTCGTGCAGGAACACAGGGCCAGGCTGTCTGATTCCTTCAGAGAAGCCAGATACCCTGGACTATTCATTTTTAAGTGTAAGCTCATTTTAAAAATCAATCAACCAACCAACCAACCAACCAACTAACCAATCCTTGTGTACCCAGAGACTCTACCAGGCAGTCATTCTACCTAAAGGGTAAGCAACAGTGAGCAAGACAATGATCTTGGCTCCTGATGAGGAGGGTCTTCCTGAAGTAGAAGGTAGATACCTGACCGGGGCAGATGATGATAGAGTTCAGAAACAATGGGAAAAGATGGCTGGTGACATGGATGCTTCCTCACCAAGACAGAAAAGAACTACCGAGTGAACGTGAGCCGCAGCCACTGGGATGCGGAGGAAAGGGTGAAATGCAATAGATAGGATCCAGGATTTTCAAAACACAGAACTCAGTGCGAGACCAGATGTGCAGGGCTGGGGTAGTGATGAATCTTTCAGGGGAAGCCAGCAGTGAACTTATCCAGAGCGCAGAGGCGCTGGTCATGAGGCAGAGAGGTAAACACATTTTTCTTCACTAGCTTCAAAGCCCTTCATCTGCTTCTTCCAGATGGCCTTATTTACTTTCTTGTCCATTCTCCCACAGAGGGGATCAGGGGACATCCACGGGCCCAGAGGCACAGAGAGAAACAGAGCCAAACCCTCTATATAGTTAAGTAGGTGATGAGACACTCAACAAAAGAAAAATGTTGACAAGAGTTAACAGAGGAATGGCCACGACAGGGGACAGCGTCTATAGGAAAGTGTTGAGAACAGCATGGGCTGTAAGAAAGTATGCATAGTAGCCAAATGGATTTTCATAGGTTGGGGCACGAGTTGGGATTCCAGTACACAACTTTCCTAAAGACTTAGGGTTATGGACTGAATATCACCCCACAAAATATGTGTTGTCAATCCTAATCTCTAGACCTACGGTTATAATCTCACCGAAGAAGAGGTTGCCATGGACATAATGATGATGAGGGAAGATTAGCATAGGGTATATTTAAGCTAACCTAGCCTTTCCCTAGTGCCAGCACCCTCAATTTGGACTTCTTTCTTTCTAAACAGTGAGAAAAGAGATTTTTGTTTGTTAAAGCTTCCCAAAGAAGGCATTTTTGTTACAGCAGCACAAGGTGACTCAGACACTTGGAAACCACATGTGAAAGTATCGCTGATCAAAAGTACGCAGAGCACAGGAAAGATGGAAGACGCAAGAGAGTAATTTCACTAAGCAAAGGGGATTTTTCATGTCTGACTTCTGTGGGGGTTTTTTTAAAAAGAATTTTTAAAGTTATCAAATGGAATCCAATCCCTTGGACAGATGTTGATTCTCACTTTAAAATAAGTCAAATAATCCTTTTCATGCATCTGTGACTTAGGAGAAGCTAATAGCGTATATAAAATTAGGCTTTTTAAAAAAATTAGGCGATGATCTGGAATATTATCAGTCTTAGATATAAATAAAGGAGAGCCACAAACATTCATGCCCTTTTCAGAAATACTTCTGAATAGTTCTCTATTAGTCCACAGTAGACTTATAAAGCATTTTTAAAGCTTTTCTTTCTTTTTTAAAAAAAAAAACACAATAATGCGTTAAAAGAGTTAAAGATAAAAGGAGTTTAAGAACAACTACAACTTGATAACCAAATATTTTTAGAGTATCTAAAGCTCACTAGTTAGTAAATATATGATTGATGAGTTTGGGGCCAAAACACTACACTGTAGTCATGTCGCTGGGCTCTTGAGTCTCTCTGGCCCACGTGACAGAGCAGAACTTCTGGACAGGGTTTCCTAGGCTGTAATATTGTAAGAAAGAACTCTGGTAGCCTACTGGTAAGAACTGCGCTGCAATCCCAGAGGCACTTGGTTCCTATCTTCTAGCTGCTCCACAGAAGGATGAACAATCTCTTCCCATAGGATTATTAACTGCCTCTGAAAAGCCACTGGAGGGCCAGATATGAGTCGGTTCTGACTCAACTGCACATAACAATAATGTGGGAATGGATCAACAGAAGGTGGGTTCAAATTGCCAGTTAAACAAATGCATACCTGCTGTGCTGCTAAGAGCTATATTAAAGAAACCTTAGGAACTCGGTATACTAAAACCCCCCACCTCATTGCCGTCAGGCTGGAACTGCCTCATAGATGACTGACCACCCATTGGGTTCTAGAGTCTGGACATCACATAGGAGACAGCCCATCTTTCTCCCACACACCCACTAAAGGATTTGAACTGCCACGGAGATGTGGGCTTTGCATTAGCAGTCCAACTTCCTATAGACTACATTACCAGAATTCCCCCTTAAATTCCCTGTCTTATAAATGTGTACAATAATTCTATGAAGGAGCTGATAGCATCATGCTCAATTTATCCAAGAAGCTTAAAATTGAGGATCAGATAGTCATATTGCTGGTTTGGGGTGGGGGGTGGTCTCAGTCACAACTATTTAGTTCTGCCATTGTAGTGGCCAGGGACAGACAGATCAGTGTGGCTGTGCTCCAATAAAACTTTCTTTTATATTCTTCCTCTGATTTAAAAAAAAAATATTAAAACCATTCTCAATTTATGGACCATGAAAAATTGGTGATGGGTGGCTTTTTCCCACATGGCACAGTTTGCTGACCCTTGTCTAAGCCAGTGGGCATGGCTGCCCTCCAACTCGTTACCTTTGGAGCTTCCCTAGGGTTCCAGAGGTTCCTCCCTCCCCCCGCCCCGCAAGGATGAAGCATATGATAGCATGTCTGGATATGGTACCCAACTCTGCAATTCAATTGTGAGAAAAAGCCTCAATCTTGAGGTGTTCCTTGGAAGATTCTGGCCACAGATTTTGAGTCTGTCTTCCTTCCAATACCCTCACTTTTTTCCATTGGAACAAACATGGATTCAGGTCAATGTGAAGCCAGGGGAAGTTCTGGGTAGAACCAGGGTGCACTCCTGCACATCTTGGGCTTTCTGCAAACAGGGAAAGCAGCGGGGTCTTCTTACCTGCAGGGTTTGGCTGAAGCGCTTTAACGGAGTGGCCTTCACAGGTGGGATGAGATTTGCTAGTGATGTGACCCGGGAAAGGGGTTTGACCCGTTTATTACTAGGCTCCTGCAAGGTGAAAAAAGAAAAAGGAAGGGAAAATGTCAAGGTCAATTACAAAGACTTCATCCCACCACACAATTGTTTGCCGCTCCAGCAGCTGCTGGCTACACACAGATCTGTGGAAAATAAACAGTGCCCATCTCACTCAGCTGTGAAGATACGAGCTGACTTAGGAGCCAAGGAGGAAAAATAGCACTGAGATGTTAATGCAGGCAGCTTCTGAGCCGATGCAGATGCGGTCTGTGTCCCCGACTCCAACACCAGTTTTCAATTCAGAGACTTCCACTTAGTAGAATTATTCTCCCTGCTCCTGTTCTTCAGAGAAAGGCCATCTCTGATATCTCAGACAATGACCTTGTGAGACAGTCACCTTCTGATGCTTCTAGATTTGCTGATCTTTTGAAAAACCTTTCCTCTGTCTGGCCTGAAGTGGCTTCTCGGAATTCCTTTTATGCAATAACTTTCCTACAGTACAGAGACTATTGGTCTTTTATAGTTAAACAAACTAAAAATGACATTTTAAAAAGTTCTATTACTGGGCTCTTGAGGAGAGAGTTTTATATCTAGGATCTATTTGAAACACACATGGCATATTTATAAATAACCACCAGACAGCCTAAGAAAACTTTCAAAGAGAAAACCCTCCTGTGGGGCACCCACACGGCACACAGAAGTTTTCAAAGTCACCTCTGCATGAAGTATTCTTTGTATATCTATACACATCTTACTGGTTTATCCTTCTGTTTTTACAATAATGGTCTCATACAATATTTATTCTTAGGCACCTGAGTTAGTTCACTCAGCATAATGCTCTCTAGCTTATCCTATGTTATACAGTATGACAGATATTAATATATTGTTCATGCAAATATATCTAAATGTGTTACACATGCAGACAGGAAAACAACAATGAAATAAGGAAATAAGACATAGACTCTTTAAAAATATATTCTTTACAAACCTGAAAGTCACCCCCAAACCAGCTGGTGAGTTGAGAAGGCACACACGTGCTGCCCCCTCACCCCTCTACCCCAAAACGGCTTTGCAGACAAGAATTACATAAATAACAACAGCAGGCTGTAGGGAAGTGGGGGATGACAGGCAAAACATTTACAGAGACAAAAAGAACAGTTACCCTTGTCCTCCTAAGCTCCATGTGACCTGAAGACGACCCCGGACAGCACATGAAGATTCCAAATTTTGATGGGAAAAGCCACACTTGCCACTTATGGTGGCAAACCTCAATCATTTCCAGAGGAAGTGTCAAGATGCTCATCATTCTTTCTCAGCCACTGCTGTCAAAGCTTTGCAGGTTAACCCAGAACTTCAGATTCTCCAAGAAATCCATGCAGGGTAGACTGGACATAGTAAGGACGTGAATAAAATCGCTCCTGAATTTGGAATCCTGCTGAGAAATCCACGTGTCATACCATGCCCTTGCCAGCCTTAGGCATCAAAAAGCTTTCTTTAAAATTTACTACTTCCAACCGTTTTGGCTTTTAAACCGGAAAAATAAAAACACTTAAAAAAAAATCAACATACTTCTACAGCATGGCTGAAGTGCCTTTTGGATTTCTCAGAGAGTAAAATGCTCTCCTAAGATGAAGAATGAATCCAGGCCGTGGGGCACCTTTCCTATTTTCTGGCATGCTGGGCTGAGCAAACAGTCAAAACTCTCCAAATACGACAAAAGCTAGGATCCAGAGTGCAGAGGGTGAATCTCCCAATGTGAGAGGCGTTGCGTTACAATTCTTTAAGTGCTGAAGAGAGAACCTGGCAGCTGTTCTGCCTGCAGGTAACTGTACCCTTCAGGATGCTCCCTGACCAGTGCTTAGCTCCCCAGCATCTGTGCCCAAAGCAGAAGTTCCCAAAAAAGGTTTACGTCACAGCTCTGCAGCTGGCATACCGAACACACACACACACACACACACACACACACACACACACACACACACGCCAGCCTCTTGAACATCCCCTGAATTTTTTACATGGCTCTTGCATTGGGCTGGAAATGTCAGGGCTGTGATTTGTGATAACATTCCTTTGGTGACATAAACTGCACTGCAGCAAGTGAGGAGCCAGGGGATTCCTTGCACAGTGGGATCAGGGCCCAGACAACCCTGCACACACCTCAGGGCCTTTTGATTCCTGGGCCTTGTATTTTAATGATAAAGCTGGTGGGTCACAGATTCTGATTCAGAACAGCGAGGCTGCAGAGCAAATGCCTATCAGGTTCTCTGACTGTAGGAAGGCGTAGGGAGCACACTACGCTTGGGAGGATGAGGGGAGATTCAGCTCTGTTCTACTTGCTGTGTCATCTTTTCTGAGTTTCTGCTGACTTTGCTGCCTACTGTACATGACCCAGTCGGACTGGCATTTTCTGCACCAGTACAAAATTAGGGACAATGCACATGCCAGCCCCTCATGCAGCCCTTTAGCTGATACAAGACAGCATTATGAAATGAATTATTTTAAGGCATTGCCTGTTCAGAAATAGTGACGAAGATGCTCTCTGGCAATGTGACACTTCCACGTAGCATGCAACGGAATCAGAATCTGCTGCTATGTGACTCGGTGCTATGATCCAGCACTGCAGGCAGGTGTATTTTCAGAACCAGAATGAATCTATAAGGGAAATTTTAGGCTTGACCACGTAGGTCAAGTACAAGTTATGGTGTTCTCTTTAAGGAATCCTGAGAGCTGGCAAAGGCACTATCGGTGATGTTTTCACGCTTTGCACAGAGATGATAGAAACCTATGGAAAACATTCCTAAGCCAGTAACTCAGAGGTCAGATAAAGTTGGGCAAAGTCAATGCTAAACTCAGGAACATGGGGTTCTATTTCAAGTGCAACTAGTGCAAGAGTGCATCTCACTAAAGGCATGTCAGTAATAATAAAAGAAAAAAGAATTGAACATTCTATAGGAAGGATTTTATTTTAAAAAAAAAGGAAGGAAGAATAGTTTTATTTCATCTTTGCCAGGCTTGGTACAGCCTTTTTGTTTTTCTTCCCATATTGCACTAGGACCATTTTACATAGTGTCCATAGAAAGGTATTCTTGTCTAATTCCTGACTCTAATGTGATTAAGATTTTTATCATTTATTGATTTTATGATACAACATAGTGGATGTATGTAATGCCACTGAATTGCACACATAAAAATGTTGAAATGGCAGATATTTTATTATATATAATTTTATCCCAATTTAAAAATTTAATTACAATTGTAGTTGCTGAAAGCAAGAAAAGAGATGATGCCCTATAAGAAGCATAGTAAGTTCTTTTATGTATATACAATTTGCTGTCCAGTGTTTTCTTTTCACCTACTCTGAGGCTGGGGAAGGGCAAAAAGCCTGAAGAGGAGGAGGAGGAGAGAGAAGAGGATGAGGTCACAGTAGTCACAGAAATCATATTGTTTCCATAAAGGGACTGATTCAGAAGTTTAGAATATCTTGTGCTTGAAGAAGACTTGATGATGCATGGGCAAAGTGCTTAGCCCCTAACCCAAACCTTGGTGGTTACAACCATCAAGGGCTCCATGGGCCCAGTATAAGGCAATCTGCATCTGTAAAGATTTAGACTTTGGAAACTCTATGGGACAATTCTACTCTGTTTTACAGGCTCACTATCAATCCGAACCAACTCGACAGCAATAGGAGAGAGGAGCATAACATCCAGTCCTGCCTAAGACATAGTGTCAGTAGTGGCAAGAAGCTGTACTACAATCCTGAAGGCAAGTGGATCGAGGCCACCAGCTGCTCTGTGGGAGAAAGATGGGCACTCTCCTCACGTGCAATAACTGCCTCTGAAAACTCACTGGAGGGTCAGCTATGGGTCGGTTCCAACTCTATGGGATACAATGCATGTGCACGTGCGCACACACACACACACACACACACACACACCCCACATGAAAAAAAAAAGAACATAAAACTGCTTTGCGGGGAGCTCTGGTGGCCTAGTGGCAAGGAGCTGCAACTACAATCCCAGAGGCACACAGTTCGAATCCACCAGATACTCTGCCGGGGAAGGAGGGACAATCTCCTCCTGTACCAGTCAGATCTGATTTGACGGTACACTCACACAAAAATAACAAAATAAAATAAAAATGTAAAAAAAACCAACTGCTTTGCAAACATACCAGCAACTGCTGAATGGGAGCAGATAGGTGGCATCAGAAGATCAGCTGCTGGTGAAGGTCTTAGGGGGGGAAAAAAAAGATAATAAAGAGGCAGACAGTGTATGGAAAAGGGGAGGGGAAGAATCCTGCCATTGAGTCAAATGGAATCAGAAAAGGTTCATGCGGCTAAGAAAGTGAAAGCCAGCATTTAAATTTAAAAATGGGTAATGCCATGGAGAGGCGTAAGACCATCTGCCAGACTCCCCGGGTCAGTTTATTCTATTGGTTGTTAGTTGGTTTCATTAGAAAATCAGCCACAGGGTGACACTCACTGAATAACATGGTGAAGGTCAACTCTCATTCATTTTAGAAATGTGTGGAGAAAATGGGGTCATATGAGAGCAGAGAGCTCAAGGGCGGGAGTCCTCTGTTCTGTTGGTCACTATGTCAGTAAGCACCGTGTGCTTTGTCGCAAGTGCCTTCCATGAATCACAACTTTTCTTCGCTGTTACAGCAGTGCCATCTAAGAGCCCCCATCCATCCTTGCCAGACTCATATGCTCCTTGGACCTCTCCAGTGAAACAAATGTAGAAATTATTTGTTTCTCTACTTTGTCACCCCCTCCTTAGGGTACGAGACTGTAGACACATCATTTTACCATTTTACAGTCCATGCCCAAGATTCTCACCCTTCAACCTCTAGGTCTAGATATAAGATATTCTTGTATTCTCACTTCCCTCCATACCTCCTATTGTTAAGACCTTCCACCCCTTCAGGATCTTTTCTTCATCCCCTGACCAATTCTTTTATTCATGCCTCAAGCCCCCGCCCCCCTTCCAAACCACATCCAAATCTTTGTTTCAAATCACTCCATTCTTCCCTTT